TCAAACTAACAGTATGTAATTATATGAGTCTTAAAATTATTTATTTATTTATTAAATAGTGATATAGTGAGAGAAGAAATAATTCAAACAAAACGAATTCAGAATTTAATTAGAGAATACATAATTAAGAAGAAAGGTTTGGAGGATTTGATTGCCTCAAGAGGTGGATCACCATTATCTGTCTTCTTGGATGAAACTGTGATAAACAAAAACCACATGAATAAACACATTTTGCAACCAATTGATCCCAACAAACAAAAGCCAAAAATGAAGAAAACCATTGGTATATATTTTTATTCACATAATTTGTTATCAAAACTTTTGAATTTGTTTTTCATTTAAATAACTTGTGTTTCTTAGATTGTGAAACATGATCATAAGATTTATATATAATATAATTTTCTTTCATTGAATGAATGCTTAATTCATTTCAACTTAATTGTGATATAGAATAGCATTGAATATAATGTACAGTCAAATGTGTCACAAACTTATCATTTTCTAGTCTATCAAACGGAAACAAAATCATAACAAAAAGTAATAATTTGTGAAAAACATACTAATATTGATATTATTGTAAAAAGTTTTGTTTTTTAAAGAACCAGAATATAAGTACTTTTTCACTGTTATCTTAGTTAGTATGTATTGCACTTCAGATTAGAGAGACTGACAGACGGGTCGGACATATCAAATGTTGCAATACTTGTCAATTGCTATTTAATTTTGTATTAAATATAAACAACAAATCGATCGTTATAAACAAATATTATAACAAAAACTTTGAACATACAGTATAATTATATATAAGTGTAAATGACTGCATATATAGATATACTTAGCAATTGAATGTTAAGAGTTTTTTGCAATATTCATAACAAAGTAGTGAACAATTGAATAAAATTTATTCATTTTACAAATTATTCAAATTATTTCACAAGTTTTTGCATAAATAATAAATATTTATTTACACTCAAGGTAAAGGACTCCGGTTTACTATTATTCACGCGGGGTCTGAGGATGGATTCGTGAATAATGGACTGAGAATTGAATGTAAACGTGAAATAACAGCTGCTATTTTTGAAGAATATCTGGAATTTGATTTAATGCCAAACGTTCCTAAGGATTCAATTGTTATTTTCGACAATTGTAGGTTGGTAAATTAATGAATTCATTTCCATCATTAATGTTATACTGCGAACAAAATGTGACATTTGGTACAATTTCTGATAGCGTTCATTCTCGGGCTCATAACAGAGCCCCAACCATGTCTTCCACTAAGCAAACAATGATTGATTGGCTTCAAAAGAACAACATTGTTTATGATAATAATAAGATAAGAAAAGCTGATTTATTAAAGATAATTAAAGAGGTAAATTAACAAATATACCAGCTGAATTCTCATTTAATTAAAATTATAATTATATTTTACAGAATCCTAGAGACCCGGGATATTATTGTGATGATATTATACGCGACAAAGGCTGCCATCCCCTCCGCCTGCCACCTTACTGCTGCCATTTAAACCCAATTGAGGTACAGACTATCCTATCATATAGTTACCATGGTAGATTTTTATACAAAATAAAATATTTTTACAAACCGGGAAGTTGGGGCTATAAAATAATGATGAGAGGGTTAGGATTGGATTACCCGTTTTGGAGTATTTAATTTTTATCGGAAAAAAGTTGTTATTTGTATATATTAATATGTAATATTAATCATTTACAGATGATTTGGGGTAATTTCAAGAAAAAAGTCGGTCATAAGAATTATAATAATAATAATGAGGAATATAAGCAATTATTAAGAGAATGTTTTAATGAAATTACCCCTGCTGTTTGGGGTAATACTGTCAGAGATGTCGTCGAAAAAGTTGAATCAGTATATTATAATAAATTTATTTATAATAATTCAGACAACCATAACGACAGTTACAGTAATATATTATCACCGGAAGAAAACTATGACTTGGAAAACATGCCGTCTATCGCCTCGGAAGTTGTTATAGAATAATATTTATAAATTAGTGCTAAAGAATTGAAAACCTATTCATTCAGTGAGTTATTCTATGCCATTATTATTGCTAATAAATATCACTCAAGAAAGTCGAGATAATTATTACCGACTATTTTATGGAGAAACTTAATACGAGTTATTCGATCGAATTTCTGTCCATTTCGGAGACCAAATCATTTGACAGTTTGGAGAAAATGTTTAATTTGCATGAAGTCTATGAGATCTCGAAGTCATATTATTTGAACTATTTTTCCGATATGTGTAAGACTTATATCGATAGTAAATCTCATCGCGGAGTCAATGCTTATAAATACTTTTATTATAAAAATCAATTTCTATCAAATCTTATGACAAAAAATATATTTGTTTTGAATGGCAGTAAACCATCGATTGATTCAATTGTATCTCGTTTTGTGTGATTGTGTTTACAGTTAACATATTTGGTGGCTATTATGTGTCCACTAAGTGTGCTTGCTTAGAATATTGTTTAGTATTACATTACATAACATTGTATAACAAACTTTTAATCAATAGTCAAATGATTTTTAGTTATTATTAATAGAGAATTTAATTTTGTTGTGATTTGCAATAAAGCGTTAAAAAGTCATTTAATGTTTAAGATATGTTATAATCAATAAAATTTTATAAATTTTAATTAGTATTTAATTCATTGCATTCATTATAAAAACTGATTTTTATTTTAAAATAAGCGCGCATTTGTTGTCATAAAATATTTGTTATGTTTATTCATAGAAAATGTGCATAAAAGTCTATACAAATAACCCCGGTATTGTACAGCACTCTCAGGCGGAGAGCATTCAGGGCTCTACCTTTATTCATAGAAAATGTGCATAAACGTCTATACAAATAACCCCGGTATTGTACAGCACTCTCAGGCGGAGAGCATTCAGGGCTCTACCGCCAGAAGTTTTGGAATATATATAGTGCCTCAATAATATGAATGTCTGTCTAAACAGTGGCGAAGAAGTATTCATCAGAAGAGACATAATCTTGTGATCAACTCATGGCTACCAAAGATGACTACACACATTGATGTCGAGCGCATGGATTCGCAGACATTTGAATCGGTGCTCAAGAAGTTACCAAACATTACACGCATTGAGATAACAGTGAAATCGGAAGCAACGGAACGGGTGTTTGAAGTACTCATGAAGTCATACAAACACTTGAAGACAATTCATGTCAGGTTTTTGACGAGAGCTGACGATTCAATAGTTGATAGACTGTTGCGGACATACGGCTCACAATTGACACGAATATGGATATCGAGTGGAATGATAAATGTGTTTAAACTGTACACCAATTCATACACAAAACTCACACAACTGTCCGCTAATGTTCTCCTCGGACTCAATAATATTGAGTTAAATGACATTTTTAATGAAAGCAAACAATTGTTGGTTAATGGGTTGCTTGAGTTTGGGTGTAATTATAACGGCCATCTAAACGATTTACAGCAATTGAAAGCATTTGTGTCACACTATGAGAACTGCTTAAAGACATTGGATATAAGCATACAATCCATGAAACCCGAGGGATATATAAATGTCATGAAAGAGTTATTGGGATTGAAAGCATTGCGAGTATTAAAACTTCGTTTGAATAGTTATATACACATTGCTGTCCATGAAATGGTAATCGACTATCACTGCGACGAGTTTGTCACTCAATGGCCACAACTCAAGAGATATGAATTGGAGATAACGTACCAAAAGGTCGAAAATTTGAGACAAGTGTTTGAGTCCGTGAACCGTATGCGAGGTTTAAAAATACTGCGGCTTACATTCAAACCTCAAGATAAAGGTTCAAAAAGTTGTTATGATTTGTCGCTCAACTCATTGTCCGGTTTGAAACGATTACAACACTTGTGGTTAGATTTCGGGGGATTACTACTAAACCAGAGTTTCTTCGACGATATCCATACATATTATCCACGACTAACGACATTGAGAGTCAGCGCTAAACTCGAGTCAAGCACCGGTATTAAGGAATCGGTGGGATGGCTACCAAAACTGCTGTTCTTTCGCTTTCAAACCAAAACCAATGGATCCATACGGAGACAAACCGCCAGAAAGACTATTCACTCACAAAGTCACTGAAAACTAGTTTATAAATAAGTTTTATAAAGTTTTTTACCTAGTTATTATACAGTAGAATTTTTACTTTTAATGCAATACTAAAATTATTATTCACAACTTTTTCTATCGTATAATAAATGTAATGTTTTTATAGATTAGTTTAGAAATAATTATACGAAATGTTTTAAACATTGAAATGTATGTCCATCGAATTGTATTGTTACTTATTATGCAAATGTTTAGGCAATTTGCAGCTAAAATGCAATGAAATTAATATAACAAAATTATATAATTATAAATTATAAATTATAAATTATAAATTATAAATTATAAATTATAAATTATAAATTATAAATTATAAATTATAAATTATAAATTATAAATTATAAATTATAAATTATATAATTTATAACAAAATTATCGCAAAGTTTGAAAAACTTTAAAAACTTTACGTCGAGAGTCGCCGTCTGTATGACTGTCTGTAAAACGCATTACATTTCAATCGTTTGTTTACATATCGTATGAAACCATGTGTTCATTGACAGCAACACTCAGTATTGTGTCAACAGTTGCCAAAAGCAGTCAAACACTGGTTTTCATAGCAAACATCCATTCAATCAATCATTTGATTTCAATTTAAATCACAATTTGATACTAAATTTGTGTCCATTATTGCCATTCAATACACAAACACATGGATTGTCACCCAAAACGCTAAATGGTTTATATTTTAAGACACTGTTATAGTTGGTGTGATTGTGGACACCCCTCCAAACCCTAACTCCCCCTCTCATACCCCCTAACCCTTCAAACCAATGCCCTATTAATACGTATTTTGTTTAATAACTCATATATTAATCAATTGTTTGCTATTCATAGACAACAATGTGGTCGAAATCTTCGAGAGCTCCCGAGGAATATCCGAAGGACTCATTGGACAGATTTGGGGATGACTTGTGTGGACTCGTGTTGTCTTATCTGTCACTCGAAGACTGTTTCCGATTGGAATGTCTGTCCAAACAGTGGCGAAGAAGTATTCATCAGAAGAGACATAAACTGGTGGTAGGAGTGGACTCATGGGTGCCAGAGGTTATCCCATTGACTGACGACTACCGCGATGTCGAGCGCATGGATTCGCAGACATTTGATGCTATGGTTAAGAAGTTACCAAACATTACATCCATTTATATCACAATACTATCGGAAGCAACGGAACGGGTGTTTGAAGTACTCATGAAGTCATACAAACACTTGAAGACAATTCACGTCCGCTTTTGGACGGGAAATGACACACAATTAGTGGACAGACTGTTGCGGACATACGGCTCACAATTGACATCAATAGTGATGACAAGGGATGCGTTTAATGTGTATAAAGAGTACTTCAATTCAAACACAAAACTCACACAACTGTCCGCACATAGTGGCCAACCATTACAACTAGAATTGAGTGATATATTCAATGATAACAACTCGTTGTTGTTTAAGGGTTTGACTGCATTTCACTGCAATTATTTCGGCCGTGAAAACGATTTGCAACTCATGTCTGCATTTGTGTCTCACTATAGGCACAGCTTAAAGACATTGCATATAAGCATACAATTCATGAACACCGAGGTATATATCGCTGCAATGAAACTGTTGTGTGAATTGAAAGCATTGCGAGAACTGACACTTCGTATACATATGATCGGTATGATTGAAGATCTCATACCCGTAATCGACTATCACTGCGACGAGTTTGTCAACCAATGGCCACAACTCAAGAGATATCAGTTGACTATAATGTACGCAACTATTCCACAGATGAGGCGAGTGATTGAGTCCTTGAATGGTATGCGAGGCTTACGACGACTGTACCTAAGATTCATACCTCGGTTCAAGAATAATGAAAAAGTCGATAATTTGTCGCTAAACCTATTGTCAGATTTAAAGCGATTGCAATATTTGACTCTAAATTTTAGCGATTTAGCCATAACTCAGAGTTTTTTCGATGATATCGACACACATTTGCCACGACTTAAGGCATTCCGATTGGTCGCTAAACTCGATATAAATGCCTGCATTACGGCTACTGTGGAAAGGCTGCCAAAATTGGTTGCATTCAATTTAATTAAGTACCATAGTGGTATAACTGTATAAATTATCAAATAAATTACTTCTAATTAATAGATGTTTTACTAGTCTTTATATTCACAAATGTAATGTAATTTAAGTATGATTATCAATTAAATTATTAGTATTTTATATGTTTACTGGATTTATGTGCAATTATAATGACAATACTTATGAAATATTTGCCGGCATTTGTCGGTCATTATTGCATTCAAATTGAATGATTCAATTGGTTATGAAATGTTTACCACAGGCTATGTCTATGAGTCGACTCAATACAGTTTGAACGCAACTTTTAGTTGCGATTTGATTACATTATCCACAATCGGATGAGTCATGGATTTCATTGCATTTGACTGCAAAACACGTTATAATCTATTGATTTGATTATTGTATGACTTGTTGAGTGTAAAAAAGGTGTGTTTTTATTATTTTTACTATTAAGCTATGTTTGGCGTTCACTTTAGGTTAGCAAATGAATCCAGGTTCAATTCTAATTAAATGAATCCAGGTTCAATTCTAATCTAATTGATGAAAAGTGACTTATTCTCGCATTACTGTCACTTATTGCCGACCAGTGTTTGTAAATGAGTGAATCATTTGATTTAATTATTAATGCATTGTTTTCCAGTTCTGTAGACAAACATGTCATCCAATGGTAAGAATGGCACTCAAGAGGAATACCTGAAGAACTCATTCGACAGATTCGGTGATGACTTATGCGAAGTGTTGTTATCTTATCTGCCATTCGAAGCCTCTATTCGTTTAGAATGTGTGTCCAAACAGTGGCGAAGAAGTATTCATCAGAAACGAGATAAACTTGTGATCAACGCAGTGATACCAGAGTTGGGACACTTGAAGAACGACTATATCGATGTCGAGGGCATAGATATACAGAAAGTGGAGTCATTGGTCAAGAAGTTACCAAACATTACACGCATTGAGATAACAGTGAAATCGGAAGCACCGGAACGGGTGTTTGAGTCCGTGAATGGTATGCGAGGCTTACGACGACTGCGGCTTATATTCATACCATTGCTGCGAACCTACAATAACATGGATTTGTCGCTCAACTCATTGTCGGCTTTGAAACGATTACAGCATTTGTGGATAGATTTCGATGATTTGGTGGTAAACGAGAGGTTTTTCGATGATATCGACACACATTTGCCACGACTTCAGTCGTTAAGACTCAGCGCCTACTTCGAGATGAGCGCCGGTATTAAGGAATCGGTGGAACGGCTGCCAAAACTGATTAAATATGATTTTCACATCCTAAAAGTGAATGAGCAATGTTCTTTTGTCGATTCTTATTATAACCGTATGTCCCGATCATTTTTATTTGATAATCGTATTGAGGATATTGAAAGATTTAATTGCTATTATTAATATATACCATGATCACATGATCAACATTCAATAATTTCTATTTTGAAACAGGTTTAGTGTAATTGCAATATTTTTTATTACCAGTACTGTATTTGAATCATAATTATTTCATATTATAATTATATTTTAAATTCTCTACCATTTATTTATGCGCAAATTATTTAAATAAATCGACATTTATTCACAGTTTTTAATGTCTTTTAAAAAATTCAAATAAAAATTTGTTTAAATTAAGTGTTTAATAATTTACAAACAAATCTTTTCGCGGTTTAGACATTTGAATGAATCGGTGATGAAATGCAGTATTTATTACAGTCTGTAGTGAGAGTCGACTCAATACTAGTTTTAAACTTTTATCTCTCAAAGCGGCGTGCACAAAGTACATACGCACTGGTAGGGGGGAGGGGGGGGGGTCATGCCAAAGGGTATGTCACCAGGT